TCTTAACCATTTTCAAGTGTTCAGTTCAGTAGTGTTAAGTATATTCCATCTCTAAAGAACTTTTTCATCTTGCAAAACTAAACCTCTACATACCCATTAAAAAACTGATTATTCTCTCCTCATTTATATATATATATAAAACCTGAGAAGATGGTTTAAAATCAGATTCCTAGGACCTGTCTCAAACTTTTAAGGATCCGAGGATGAAGCCTAGGAATCTCTCTCTACTTTAACAAGTTCCTTGGGTGATTCTTGGCAGATTATTTGGGAGTTATGACCTATCATATACATAGGTGCTCTGTTTATAAACCTTTCTAAATTCCTGTGTTTGAGAGGAAATAATCTGTTTCAAAAACTATGTCATGACAATGGCTAATATGTAAAAGTTCAATCCCCGAAAACAATACAGAAACCATCACACAGCTACCTAATCATCAATATGTTTCCATAGTGCTGAAGGCAATAGTAATAATATTCAATTATAAGGTCATTCCCCCTAAACCCCCCACCCAACCCCACAAGGGGAGTGTGCAGTCCACCACTTCTCTTCAATTTCATCTGATCATATTTTTAAAATCCTGAAAATTTAAGCTTCTTTCTCTAATTACCTAGTTATAAAATGGCAGGAAAAATAAGCACTGAGCTTGCCACTTTCTGACAGCATGTTATCCTCCACCTCTTTGGCTAATAATGGGCAAACTGCCAACTAAAATTCTCTCTAAATTCTGCAAACTAGAGCTGTCAGTACTGTTTTGCTGGAAAGAGCCAGAACCCCTGCTTCTTCTGAGGCATTTTGTTTTCATAATAAAATCAACTCTTTGCAAGAAGAGAAAAAAGGCCACACATAATTTCACATCTGCACCCCTAAGAGCTACGCGGAGCAAATCTAAAGGTAATAAGCAGACCATGGAATCTTGGTAGGTCTGCTTTCTTTGTTCCCAAGAAGGTGAAAGTATCCCACTTTTGTGAATGAAAGGAATTAAAATGTTGAAAAACCCAGATATTCTAAATACTCCTATACCTCTAGCTCCAAATATGAAGCCAAAAAACACTTTATAGTTACATTAAGGTTCTGCTTAAAACCAATCTATTAACGTAAACCCAACCATAAACCAGAGTTGTCAATTTCTATTAGTAATCTGGGATATGAACAGATTGGTACTATAATCTCCTTCAACTTTCTATTTACAGTGAAAACTCATTTTCTGAAGCCTTAAATCAGGGGTTCTCAAAATTTTAATGTAAACAGAAATTGCAGGGGTGGTTTCTGAAAGGCAGATTCCCTAGCCCAACCTCCAGCAACTAATCAGTTGGGAGTGGGGCTGGGGAGCTGTATCCAAGGATCTGTATTTCCAACAAGTTATTCTAGTGACTCCAATGCTATCCTAATATAAACTTCTCAAAGCCTGCAAGTTTCAGATACATGTTCATAACCCCAAGTTTTAAAACTGAATGAAAATCATGTTTTTCCTTTTGGATATCAAAAGTAATTCTTGAAGAGAGATTAAAAATAAACGTCTTGTATCATCTCTGATCTAAATATGTTATTACTATCTCAACCTAAAATTGCATAATTAAAGTATAATCACTTAAAGCCAAATTAGTTATAATTCAAAATTCTGTGAAGCTTGCCCACTAGCTGCAAAATCAATCTAATCTTCAATAATTTAATCATTACAGATACAAACCAGAGAACCAATCAAGATATTTTGTAGATTATTATTTATATATTGTTCTGAACATGACACAAAGGGAAAACAGTCTTACAGTCTGGAGGAGTTCTGATTCCTTGAGGGGAATTATTTTGTTAACATAAAAAGTAACTGGTCCAATTGACCTAATATATCTTTCATTTTTTAGTGATAGCATAAAGAATGAAAATGACCATCCCTACATATATCGTATCTGGTAGTAATAAAATCACCATTTAAAAAAGCAGCAGGCATGCTAATGGTATATATTTACCTGTCAGTACTTCCTATGCTTCAAATTTCCCTAATGTGCTGCTGCTTCAGATAGTGGCCTTGCCCTGGTCCTTTCATTAATGTCTCTCATTAATGAGAGTAACAAAAAGGGTAATTTTCTGTTGGTTACTGTCCTTTTAATTTCTTGACAGTTTATTTTAACTCTGCTTAAGGTGAGTAACCTAGACAAATGTGTATGCTGTTTGCAGGACAAAGGTTTTGGCACAAAAATGCTGAAATGAGTTTAAAGCACTTGTCTCAAAGAGACACAGTAATCATTAGTAAATCGAAAGGTCCAATGATAAACAGACTAGCAGAAAGAGTAGTCAGGTTTAGGAAACACTAGTACCTGAAGATGTTCAGGGGAGGATTGTGAGAGAAAGGCATCAGGGTATCTTCCTCTCTTGGACATCTACACTGCGCATGTTTAGAATGTTAAAGACTGAGAAGTTCTGGAGTAAGAACACTGCTTTACCTCAACATTTCCCAATTTTGCTTGACCATGAAATCTTTTATCTTCAATATCTTGAATATGTTCAATTAAATGTGTAATTTGGGCAAGAAATCTAACCTTTCTGAGCCATTATTTCCTCATATGCAGAAAGTTATAATAAAAATACCAGTCTACCTATTGCACATTTGGTAGCAACAATGAGCTGGTACTTGTAAACCTGCTTTGTAACCATATACATCGCTGATTGTATGCTATCATTACCAGGAAGATTTATAGCGAATTTAAGAATAGCTTCGTTCTTCATGTGTGGAGTGAAAAAGAAAGTAAGATAGAAGATAGCATGACCTAGTTTCATTCTTCACCCCTGGGAATAAAAAACAGACAATGAAATAAGGGAATAGAATATTAAATATATTTCCTCCAAAGACTTTCCATTCTTAAAACACACAACTGAATCCCAGTATTTTTCACAGTAGTAACAAGCCACACAAAGGCACTGCCATCTGCAGGCCATAGAGAGGGAATGCTTGCAATAGTTACTTAAAAGGAAGTTGCAAGCCATCAGGCAACCCTTTCTCATCCGACTTCAAAAGTCTTTCCAAAAGGTGTTTATTCTTAGCTTTTGAGTATTGGTAGATAAGGCTCTATTTGCCAAGTTTTGAAATTAACTCTTGATTAAATTCTCATTTCTTCTCTACCCAGGACTGCTGCTTAGAAATGTGAAAAAAATTGCCTTTGCCTTATGGAAGTTCTACATTGGGCTCATACCAAAGTAACCCCAAGAAATATGGATTTTTTTTTTTACAGACTTTGAGGAAAAAAACCATTGAATGGCCTGAGCTGACTTTTGAGTTTCTTTTCAATTAGAGTAAATCTGCTCTCTCACATACAAAAATAGTTTATGGACAGACTACATATAGAGTAGACTGTTAAATTCTAAATTAAATTAATTTGTGTGGTGTTCACAGGCATGCCACATTGAACAACCTACACCTCGAATATTTTTCACTAGGCATTGGAATACGGTTTATCCAGCACATTCTACAAGGAAAATCAGTTTCTATGTTTTAGGTTAAAAGATTCTGTCAGAGGTCTCAAAGAATATCTAAAGGGTGACAGATAAAAAACGCAAAGAAACCAGAATGAAGAAACTGACCTTAAGAAATAGCCAAGTGATATCCAACAACCCACAGTGCAAAAATTTGCACTTTACTGATTTGAAAAGTCAACGCAAGTTAGTTTTCATACCCAGACTGGCTTAACAAAGAACACATTAAACCTAGAGTTGTCAAAAAGCAAAACGGCTCCATCAGAAATATCTTTTTGTTAATTGTCAGGCGGCTACGATACCACAATGCTACAAGAAAACTTGGAGGCACACTGGGTGCCCTTGAGCGGGCAGTTCCCGAAGTTCCCTGGAACTATCACCTGTAAATCAATAATGTCAACAGTTTACAACAAGAAAGCTTATAATTTTATCATTCCCGAAGACCTCGGGGCATTTCATGGAATCTGCTAGGCCTCAGGTAAAAATTCCGTGCACGGAGCGAAAGCCAAAAGGACCACAATTAACCTCATACTCCTCGGGCAGCGTTTCCCAAAGCATGGAACGCAGAATAATTGCAGGAGGAACAAGGACGCACTGTTTATTTTAATAGACAGGTATTTATTTTTTTATGAGCATTAGAAAATGGCTGGCTTTCCATTATATGGTTTGTGATTTACGTTTCCACCTTAAACAAATGTAAAGAGAAAAAAGCGAGTCCGTTTAAAGAAAAAAATTAACATTCGGTAAATAACAGTAGTACATATGTTACACAGACATAAAGATGCAACGCGAGAGACTGAAATTTGGGAAACGTCGTCCTTAAAAAAGCCCCTGGCGGTTTGTCGGGGATCGAAAAAGTGCCCTGGGTCGGGAGACAGAAGAGCCAGCAGGTTGGGGCGCTGGCTCAGTCGCTAATTTCCAGGGTAACCTCGGGCACAGTTTCTTTCCCCGTGGTCTGGGCCCGGGATCCGCGTTTAAAAATGGTTGGGGGTGTCACATGACAAGGAGACGCCTCGAGGATGCTGTCAATCGGGGCCGCAAGGGGCCGCGAGGCGGCGGCGATGGGGGACGGCGCTCGGTTCGCCGCGCGGCGCTGTACGCCAAGAGAATGCCCGGTGAGACGCGCCTTCTTGGCCCGGGTTCGAATCCCGAGTGCGCCACCGACTTGCTGAAGACGAGAGACTTCACCGTGTCGAGAAGGGGACGCGGGGTGTGCAGCCCTACCCTACAGAGAAACCTTGAGAACTATGGCCGACAGACGACAGTTCGTGCACAGACACACGGCTGCAGGGCAGCCCCGCAAGACCTGAGCCCACCACTGGCCTCTCGGCTGGCAGGGCCTGGGTTTTACCGGAGTCCGAGGAGGCCGCGCCCCGCACCGGGCATGCGCAACTCCGCGCGCACCCAGAGAGGAGTCGCGGCCGCGCGGTGAGCGGGCCCTCCCGCCTCAGCCTCCATCCGGCTCAGGCCCCCCTCAAGTGCCTGACTGTCAATCCCCGGCCTCGGCGGACGGCCACCGCTTCCCGGCACTCACCGCTACCAGCGCGGCGGGCTCTCGGCCGCTCCTTCGCCTCAGGCACGCTGCTGGCGCCTCCACCTCAGCCCACCTGCCCGCCGTAGGACAAAGGCACCACCAACCGACCGGCGCGGGCACGAGGCAATGGCGGCCGCGGCGAACAGTGGGGGCTGAGAGCGCGCACGCAGCGGCAGGCGCGGCAATGTCGCATGAGCTTGCGGGTTTACGGCAGGGCTGGGTTGGTGCGTCGATCTCCTTGGCAATGTGGGCGGGGAAGTGGCGCTCCCTTGGCAGTTGGGACCGCGAGGGGTTGCCTAGTAACGGCGTCCCGGCTGAGGATGGGTCCTAGGCCTGGTCTTCCACATCCCACAGGACTTCGCCTTTCTTCTAATTTTCAGAGTGCCTTCTTCCTCTCTAACTGTGGAAATATGTCATTTAAATCCTAAAATCCTTTTAGTTTTGCATGAAACTAAACAGAAAACAAAACACCTAAATATGTATTGGAAAATGGTATAAACGCCTGTAACCTCGGGATCACAAGGAACAAAGCAGAGAGGTAGAGGTAATGTTTTATTTAAATTTACATTTTAATAGGCTGTGTACCTATTAGTTTCACTAACTAAAGAGGCAAGAGGCTTCTGGTGATAAAGTTACAGGTTCTTCTTGAGTTGTTTTTTTTTTCCTGGAATATTCATTCAATGTCAAAAATAAATTTCATAGGCTGTAACTCTTAACTGGGATGCATGTAAATGTGTTATTCATTTAATCTATAGACTATGTCACAGGAAATGGAATGTACTTGCACAATTGTAAATATTAATCTATTAATCACAGCTATCACTATATGAATCAGGTAGGCTCTTTTATTGGTTAGGAAATACCTCAGACCCCGTGGGGTGTAGTGTTTCTCCTTGTGAGTAGTGCATGCCAAGTAAAAATAGTGGCTGTGGAATTTGAACTCTATGGGAAGTCAGATTTCTTTGACACCCACTCATTTGCCTTCTTCTTCACTCATTTACTGATTGAATGTTCATTATGCATCTACTAAATGGCCCTAAGATTTGTTATACACCTACTTGTGAGGCACTATCTTGAGCAAATGCAGACCTGTCTCAGCTGTCTTGGAGATTACTGTCTAGTGGAGAGATAAAACTAGTTGAATAATCACACTTAAGTGTGTAATTGCAAACAGATAAATATTTGAAGGTAAGAAGTAAGGAATATGGATGCACATAATGAAGCACTCTGGCTCTAGACTTCAAGGTTTTAAAAAATATTTTTAAAAATTTCAAATCATCTCAGTATTACAGAAAAGTTCCAAAATATAGTACAAAGGATTTCTGAATGTCCTTTACCCCGATTTTCCAAATGTTGAGCTTATTATCTTGATCGCTTTATAACTCTCTCTGTCTCTCTGTGTCTTTCTCTTTCTCTGTATTTCATAATCTACAGGCTTTGAGTTTCACCAATTGTCCCACTGATGCTTTTTAGAGCAAAAACACAGTTGTTTGTTTTTTTCTGGTGCAGTATCCCAGCTCAGGGTTCCATGCTGCCTTTCATTTTCAGGTTGCCTTGGTCTCTGTCAATCTGCAACAGTTCTTCAGTCTTTCTTTGTCTTTTATAACCTCGACATTTCTGAAGAGTACAGGCCATTTATTTTACAGAATGTCTTTCACTGGGGCTTGTCTGATGTTTCTTCATTGTTAGATTCAGGTTATTTAGTTTTGGCAGGAAATGCACAAGTGATTCTGTGTCCTCTCAGCCAGTAATTTTCTTTGACTAGAACCCTCTGCATACCCCATCGCAGTCACTGTCCATCAGTGTAGTAAGATGCCACAGATTCACTATTTGCCTTCTCTGTGCTACACTGTCTTCTCGGTGTCCTCCCCAACCATGTGTACTAAACATAATACTCCTCAATCCCCTTCTCCCTCCCTCCCCACCTGCTCTCCCACACCCCTCCCCTTGGGTAACTGCTGGTCCCTCCTTGGAGTCTGTGAGTCTCCTGCTGTTTTGTTCCTTCAGTTTTGCTTCCTTGTTATACTCCACAAATGAGGGAAATCATTTGATACTTGTCTTTCTCTGCCTGGCTTATTTCACTGAGCATAATATCCTCCAGCTCCATCCATGTTGTTGCAAATGGTAGGATTTATTCTTTCTTATGGCTGAATAGTATTCCATTGTGTATATGTACCCCATCTTCTTTATCCATTCATCTACTGATGGACACTTAGGTTGCTTCCATATCTTGGCTATTGTTAATAGTGCTGCAATTAACATAGGGGTGCATATGTCTTTTTGAATCTGAGAACTTGTATTCTTTGGGTAAATTCCTAGAAGTGGAATTCCCGGGTCAAATGGTATTTCTATTTTTAGTTTTTTGAGGAACCTCCATACTGCTTTCCACAATGGTTGCCCTAGCTTACATTCCCACCAGCAGTGTAGGAGGGCTCCCCTTTCTCCACATCCTCGCCAGCATTTGTTGTTCTTAGTCTTTTCAGTGCTGGCCATCCTAAGGAAGCAGCCCATTTTTGCCTTTGACATTCTTCCCTTAAGAAAACTTACATATTTTCCTTTTCTAATTTTACTATGATCTATTTTTCCCTTTTAATAACTGCATGTTTAATCCAAAATAGATTTTGTTATATGTTATCACAGGTAAATATAATAGATTCCGTCTTTATCCAAGCTATCTCAACACCACATAACACCCCCAAACCCTTGGTGTATCTCTTCTTCATCATACATTTGTTTTAGTAGGAGGATTAAGTTCAGGGCTAGTCATTGTTTCCATAATATCTCTGTTTCTTTTGAGGGCAATTCACACTGTTTGGATTATTGTTCCTCTAGAAGAACATGTTTAGCTATCTTATTTCCAGAACCATGTGAAATATACTTGTGAAAACATTTAAAGCAAATTATCTCTGATATAAGTAAGTGAATCTTGTTTGTGCTACTGAGATGATCAAGGCCCTTCTCATTTGAACCTCTCAAAGGTTCCATCTCCTAATTTGCCTACATGTGTTGAGGTACCGAAATAAACTATAATAACTGTAAAAATGGTTAGGGATAATGTCAGAGATTAGAACATTTCAGCTGCTTACTGTTTCTTGGAGATTCTGGTTCACTGTTTCTTGGAGATTATGATTCATTAACTCTAGGATAGAACTTAAGAATCTATATTTTTTTAAAAAACCTTTTCCAGGTTTACAAGCCACCGGTCTGGGTAATTAAACTGCAGAGATAACATATCTAAAAGCCATATACCATGTTTTGGGGGCCCTCACAAATCACTCAAACTGAGTGTTAGAACTGGATAACTGGCCAAGTCAGTAGAGATAAAATCTGAAGAATGAGTATTCCAGATTCAAAACCTAGTGATGTAAAGCAGCCATTTTATTCTTGTTCATAGTTTCTGGGTCTCAGGACTTCAGGAGGGGCTTGGTTTGGCAGTTCTGGTTCAGAGTTAGTCAGACAGTGGCTGCGGCTGGAACAGCAGGGGCCTGGAGAAGGCTGAGGCTGACCACACATCTCTCTTTCTCCACATAGTCTCCGGGCCTCTCCACAGCCTTTTCGCATGGCCTAGTTTGAACTTCCTCACAGCATGGCAGCCTCAGAGCAGTTAATGCTGCTCACGTAGAGCTCAGGGCTCTGAGAGAGTGGCTGAAAGAACCAGGCAGGAGCTATATTGCCTTCTGTGACATAGCCTCAGAAGTCAGATAAGTCATTAGGGTGGCCAGATTCAAGAAGGAACACAGGCCTCACCTTTTGATAGAAGGGATAGTAAGGTCCCACTGTAAGAAGAGCACATAGATGGGGGATATAGCTATGGCCATTTTTGGAAAATAGAGTCTGTCACAGAGTTATCCCCTGCCCCCACATTCAGTGTGCCAGATCCTTTCCTGCAAATGTTTCTCAACTCTTTCTACTTCTCTGTGTACCCCTGGCCACTACCTAGCTAAGCTATCAACACTCCTAGCTTGGGCCACTTCACTTGCCTCCGAAGTAGGCTCCTTGCTTCCACTTTTTCTTCCCTTCAGTTCTTTCTCTTCTATAGCTAGAGTGGTATTTTTATATACAAATCTGATTGTCACTTCCCATTGTTCTTAGGATAACAAAAAGCTGCCTTCAAGGAAACTTTCTGCTCTCCAGCCTTATTTTGCACCACTGTCCTTCTTGCTTTCCAACCCGCAACCCCACTGGTATTGTTTTGGGCCCTACGTTTATCACATGCTTTCCACCTCAGGGCCTTCGTACCTCCCATTCTCTTTGCTTAAAATATTCTCCCAGTCCATTTCCTATATCTCTATCAGCCCTCCTCCTTTCTCTGCTACCTCTTTAATTAACCCTATTCGTCCTGAAGGTTTTGATTTAAATCTCACTCCCTCTCCCCACTCAGAGTATAGAGATAGTACAGCATAGTAGCTAGGAGCAAAGACTATGGATTCCACTTCTTGGGTCTAAATCCTGGCTCCACCATTTACTAGCTGTGTGACCTTGGGCATGTTGCCTAACCTCTTGGTGCCTCAGTTTTCCCTCTTTGTAAAACAGATAGTAACAGGACCTATCTCAAAGGATTACTGTGAATGCTTGCTGAATTAGCATGTGTAAAACACTTAGAACAGTGCCTGCCTCATACTGTTCAACACGTGCCAGCTGGTGGCAGTTCATCAGCCTGTTGCTCCCTCTTGTAGGACTGTGTGCTTCTGTCTTGAAATTACTTTTCCAATCAGAGGCCATGTAATGGGATGTGAGGAGAATTTTCGGGTTACTTCCTAGACCGTGACTTTGGGCCTGCAGCTGAGGATAAAGGGGTGTTAAATATATTTATAAAGCAGGGGCCCTTAACCAGGGATTCATAAACTTGGATGAGAAAAACTCACTTCTTTATTTTCATTTACTTCTAATTGCGAGTAAGCATTTCTTTCAATTATGAGTATAGGTAACAAACAATAATATTAGCAGAGCCTGCTACATTGTCCCCAACAGAAATCACAGATATTTCATATCACATTATAGTTATTACAGATGTCTTGACTTATCATTTGCTCTCATCATTACTTTGAGATTATGGAAATTTTAGACTTCCCACTAGATTTTATTATTTAATCCATTAATAAAGAAGCACTTTCAGTGCTATATCATGCATTTGTCTTTTTAATATTTTGATGACTACATTTTAATATAATTGGTTTTCTTTGTAACTCTATCATATTTCATGCATTTACAAACATTTTTCTGAGATGGGTTCATAGGTTTTTCCAGATGAGAATCCTGCTGTACAGAAAGTAGCCAATGACCAGGATGAGAAGCTCTTCTCAGGGCCTGGTAAGAGGGGAGTGTTTTCTTTGAGTCAGTCACTCAAAGTCTGAGGAATATATATATATATATATACACACACACACACACACATATATGTGTGTGTATGTATAGTATATAAATATGTATTTATATATTATACATGTGTCTCTTATGTTTACA